TTGAACAGCCCCTTATTACCACCACTGTCCCTCTTCACTGATAAGTATGTGATCATTTTGGGAATTATCTTTTCTTGTTATTTTTTTGAGTCAGAGTCTCACTCTGTCACCCAGGCTGGAATGCAGTGGTACAATCATGGTCACCATAGCCTCTACCTGCTGGGCTCAGGTCATCCTTCCACCTCAGCCTTCCAAGTAGCTGGAACTACAGGCATGCACTGCCATGCCTGGCTAATGTTTTGATTTATTGTAGAGACATGGTCTTTCCAAGTTGCCCAGGTTGGTCTAAACCCCTGGGCTCAGGCAATCCTCTCTCCTCTGCCTGCCAAATGCTGGGATTACAGGCGTGATCCCCATGCCTGGCTGGATTATCCTTTCTTCTACCTTCCTTTTTTCCTTCTGGCCAGACCAGTTGGTAGAATTTCAACAAAGCCAGGGAGATAAGTGAAAAGAAGTTCAAGTCAGCCCTTATTTCCCTTAAAAGTAAAAAAATTAGATAAATTTGGGCCATAAATACAGACTAAAACGAGTCTGAGGATATAGTGGCAGATATAATCTGCTGCTTCTCTCCTGTGAGTTACACTGAGGGACTGGAATCTTTAATGCTCTATTGTATTCCATATTGCCTAGAACTGCTCTTTTTCTTCCCTAAAAACTGAATGAACTAGTGAATAAGAGATTTGAAATAGACATGAGTGCTGAATGCTACCACGCATGTAAAAGTGATCGGTATTTCCTGGTATGCCGAATGCCATAAAAGATTTCTCTGTAGCCGGGAACAGTGGCTCATGCCTATAATCCCAGCACTTTGGGAGGCAGAGGCGAGAGGATTGCCTGAGTGCATGGGTTCGAGACCAGCCTGGGCAACTTGGTGAGCCCTCATCTCTACAATAAATAAATTAGCTGGACGTGGTGGTGCACACTTGTAGTTTTAGCTACTTGAAGGCTGAGGAGGATGGATAGCCTAAGTCCAGCAGGTCGAGGCTGTGTTGGCTGTGAGTGTATCACTGCATTCCTGCCTGGGCAACAGAGTGAGACATTGATTTAAAAAAAAAGACATCCCCCTACTGGGAATATACTCTGAAGAACTCAAATCACTCTATAAAAAAGATACCTGCACACGTATGTTTATTGCAGCGTTGTTCACAATAGCAAGAACCTGGAAACAACCATGCTGCCCATCAAAAGAGAACTGGATTAAAAAAATATGGTACATATACACGATGGAATACTACGCAGCCATAAAAAAGAACAACATCATGAATTTTGCAGCAACCTGGATGGAACTTGAGTCTATAATACTGAGTGACCTGTCACAGAAACAAGGATCCGAGTATCACATGTTCTCACTCATATAATGAACCTTGAACATCCAATGTAATACCATAAGAAAATGATTGACGGTACTGGGAAACTATGAGAGGGGGGATGGGATTAACAGTAGCAAATATCTGTCTGGGGAAGGGGAAACACCTCTTATCAACAGGGTGCCTGAATGAAACGTAATTGTACACCTAACCCTTAACTGTACCCCAAAAAACCATAATAAAAAATATTGATTAAAAAAAAAAAGACTTTTCTGAATTGGTTCCAGATGTCTAGCTTGTTGCTGGTTCACTGGCCACCTAAAATGACTGAGACATGGTCAAGCATCTCCCATCACTACCTTATTGCGACTTAAGCAAGAGACTGTGACTTTGCATACCCAGATTCATGCATACTTGCATACTTGCAGGCTCTGTCTGGGAGGAAGCATGGGTGAAATGCTAACCAATGTGGATCCATGTCCACAGGTCTTTTCCTTGGGTTGATATAGTATTAAAAAGACCCTTGCATTAACTGCTGTAATAAAAATATTCAGAGGTTTCAAATCAATGTTCACATTTCTGGGAAGATCTGAAAAATCTGGCAATACTGGGCCCATGTTCCTAATGGTAACAGTTGGCTAGAGGTGAACGCCAGCTGTCCTCGATTGGGCGGGGCTCAAGTTTAACAAACTCATATACAGGGGGTGCCAAAAAAATGCAAGCACATTTTAAGTATGATGTTTGCTCAAAAGATGGTGTTAATCAAATGAATGATTGTCACCATGTGACAGGCAGGACAGTCAAATAAAATGACAAAAGCTTGGTTGAGCGAACGTCATACTAAACATTGCTACCGCAATTTAGTACAACTTCAAAAAGCACTACATAGATCACATCGCTTTACATGTGCATACATTTTTTGGCACCCCCTGTGTATGCCCTACTATGAACCAGCACACTTCTCTAAGTGTTTTACAAATAATAACCCACTGAGGCCTCATAACAACACTATGAGGTACAAACTACCATTATTTCCATCTCACAGGCAATGAACCCCAGGTGCAGGGGACTGAGCAATCTGCTAAAGACCACCCAACTGCTAAGTGACAGAGGTGGCTCCAGAGTCTATTCTCTAAATCAAGGGGTTGATACATTTTTTTTTCCTGAAAGGGGTTAGATAACGATTTTAGGCTTTGTGGGCCAGATGGTCTCTGTTGCAACTACTTGATTCTGCTATTATAGTCAGAAAGCAGTCATAGTCTGTGTGTAAGTAAATGAGCATGGTTGAGTTCCAAAAACACTTTATTTTCAAAAATAGGTCTGGATTTGGTCTATGGGGTATAGTTTACCAGCCCTTAGGCCCCCCCCTTTTTTTAGAGAGGTGGTATCTTGCTCTGTTGCCCAGGCAGGAGTGCAGCTGGGGTGAAGAGGAAAAATCACAGCTCACTGCAGCCTCAAACTATCCCCCCCTCTTTTAAAAAGCCATATGTTGGCCAGGCGCGATGGCTCACATCTATAATCCCAGCACTTTGGGAGGCCAAGGTGAGAGGATTGTCTGAGCTCACGGGTTCAAGACCAGCCCAGGCAAGTTGGCAAGATCTCATCTCTACAATAAATCAAAAACTTAGCTGGGCGTGGCAGCGCATGCCTGTAGTTCCAGCTACTTGGAAGGTTGAGGTGGAAGGATCGCCTGAACCCAGCAGGTTGAGGCTGTGGTGACTGTGAGAGTGCCACTGCACTCCAGCCCGGGAGATAGAGACTCTGACTCAAAAAAAAAAAAAAAAAAAAAGAAGCCATATGCCATGCTGCCCATCTCACTCATCTGCATGACCTGCCTGGCTCTTGCAGGCATTTGATATCATCCAAACTCTGAGTCCCTTCTGGTACAACTGCATATCTGTAAGGTGATGGGTCAGTTTGAGCATTGCCTGTAAACCAGATGTTCCTTTCTTGACACTGGGTATAAAGCAATGAGAAAGAAGGTATAAACCATGCCCTCATGGAGCAGATGTCCTAGTTGGGGAGAGAGTCAATAAATAAGACAAATAAGCAAAAAGTATGACATGCTTGAGGGTCATAAAGAGATACAATAAGCAGAAACAACGATAAGAAGTGCATGCATGGTTGTGTGTGTATGAGAGAGACGTGTGTAGGGTCTCCAGGGAAGGCCTCACTGAGAAGGTGACTTTTTTTATTTTTTATTTTTGAGTCAGAGTCTTACTCTGTTGCCCAGGCTGGAGAGCAGTGGCATGCTCACAGCCACCACAGCCTGCACCTGCTGTGCTCAGGGTGTCCTTCCAAGTAGCAGGAACTACAGGCATGCGCCATCACTTCCAGTTAATTTTTTTTATTTATTGTAGAGACAAGGTCTCGCCAAGTTGTCTGAGCTGGTCTTGAACCCGTGGGCTCAGGTAATTCTCTTGCCTCTGCCTCCCAAAGTGCTGGGATTACAGGTGTGAGTCACGCCCAGCAAGCTGAGAAGGTGACTTTTGCGTAAAGACCTGAAGCAAGTAAGAGGACAACTGTGGGGATGAATGTTCCTGCTGTTGGTGGGTTTTGATCAGGGGATGACAGGAAGAAGGCGGCAACCATACTTCCTTTTGAGTTCTGTGTTCAGGTCCCTTCCCCTGAGAGCTGGGTGTAGGTTGTCAGGACCTCTCAGGAAAGCAGATGAGTCAAAAGTGGGACACATGGTGAGGACCAGGCATGGCACAGGCCCGCTTGCTGACCTCTTACCTGGGGACAGGTAAGCAGCTGAGAAAAGGGGTGCTGGCAGGCCGGGCTCGGTGGCTCAGCCTGTAATCCCAGCACTTTGGGAGGCCAAGGTGTGTGGATTGCCTGAGCCTACAGGTTCCAGACCAGCCCGGGCAACTTGGCAAGACCTTGGCTCTACAATAAATAAAAAATTAGCCAGATGTGATAGTGCGCACCTGTAGTGCCAGCTATTTAGAAGACTGAGGAGGAAGGATTGCTGGAACCCAGCAGGTCGATGCTGGGGTGGCCGTGAGCGTGCCACTGCACTCCAGCCTGGGCAACAGAGTGAGATTCCAACTCAATAAATAAATAAATAAAAAAGTTGGTCTAATGGAATCAGAGAGTAGAATGGTGGTTACCAGAGGCTGAAGAAGGGGAAGAGGGAGAGAGGATAAAGTGAGGTTGGTTAATAAGTTTAAAAATACAGTTAGATAGAAGGAATTAGTTCTAGGAATTAGTAGGGAGAGTACAATTAACAATAATTTGTCATATGTTTAAAAATAGCTAGAAGAAAAGAATTGGAATATTCCTAACACAAAGAAAAGATGAATTTTGAAGTGACGGATTTCCCAATTACCCTGATTTGATCATTACCCATTGTATGCATGTATCAAAATAACACATGTACCCCTAAAATGTGTATAGCGATTGCATATCAATTAAAAATTAATTAACATTCAATACAGTTAGAAATCCAGTTTCTCAGTTCCTCATTTCAAGTGGTCAACAGCTACATGGCCGGTAGCTATTGCAATGGAAGCACAGACATAGAACATTTCCATCCCTGCAGAAAGCTCAGAAGATAGCATGGATGATTTGCCCAAAGCTCCACGGCCTTTTACAGACCGACGTGAAACCAGAACTGGATTTTGGGGCCAAGGCCCTCTGAGCAGACGGCCTCGGGAGAGAAGTCACTCCCATGCAACTGAGATTCTGCACCTGAATGGCCCGCAGTCAAAGGAGGGTGGAAGGGACATGATGGTGTAGGCCACCGGCAGGAGGCTGAGGAAGAGCACCAGCAGCAGGAGGCCCATGTAGAAGTTGTTGGATCGGGAGGCTTTGAACACACGCTCATGGGGGACGTTGCTGCTCATCACCGCCCAGCACTGGAAGTACATGGAGGTCAGCAGGCGCAGCACGTTAATGCCCACCAGTCCTGGAGCATAGAAGGAGCCCATCCTGGAAGGGCAGAAACCGGACACCTGGTTGGCCTGATAGTAGGAAGACAGGGGAAGGATGATAGAAGGAAATGGGACTGGTGGGTGGGGGACATGAAGCCAAGCTGCTTTTCCCCACAGCAGGTCTGAAGGTCCTCAGAAGTGGGAGATACTCCAGGTATCACTGACTTAAGCTCTGGCTGGGATTTTTGCCACTGCCTTGCCCCCAGGCATCTAGCAACTTACATGGTCTCCTGTCTGCTTCTCCTGGTCTCCGTAAAACAGCATTGCTGCTCAGAAATGTATTTGAAGTCCTTCAATTAAGAGGGACAGTGGCTTGCAGGGAGCTCTTGGCATCTCGGAAGTCTTTAGCGGAAGTTATGCGGCTCCTTTAACTTCCTTTTCATGGGAGGGGATTCCTTAGTTCATTTACCTCCCTCCTTCTCTCCTTTCTTCTTTTCTTCCTCCCTCCTTCTTTCTTTCCTTCTCTTTTTCTCCTCCCTTGTCTTCCTTCCTTTTCTCTTTCTTCCCCCCTTCTCTCCCCTCTTCCTACTTTTCTTTCCTTCTCTCTCTCTCTGCCTCCTTTCTCCCTCTCTCTCTACTTCTACAGTAGCACATGAGCAGGCTGGAAACTATCTTGGTTCTCAGCTATTCCTGCCCTCTATCTTTCATGTGGAAGAGGGGAGCTGAGTGGCAAGAAAGTCTGTCCGGCTCTTCCCAGACAGTTGAGCGGCAAAGCCTGGGAATCCAGATTTTTGACTCCCCAAATGAAGTGATCCCCAGATGAAATGGGTAACTTACCAGATCATTCCTTGGTTGAAGATCAAACCCAGCACATTTCCACTAATATCAAACTCAGCATATGAAGGCTAGAGAGATGGGGAGAGAGAGAGAGAGAGAGAAAGAGAGAGTGTTAGGTGATGTTAGCCAAACTCCACTACCAGCCAAGGCTACTCCATCCCAAAGAGCCTGTTCTGATAGCTGGAGAGGAACTTTAGGTTCAGGGTTCTGTTTTTGTTTGTTTTTTTTTTAACATATTTTCAACGTTTTAAGACAAATTTTGAAGTTCTCAAAGCTGAAACTTTTTTCAATTAAAAAAAAAAAGGTGAGAGTTTCTACTTTTTAGGGCCTGCAGGCTGACAGCGTGTTCTTGGAAAAAAATTGACCTCTAGAAGAACATTTTGTCAGTATTTTAATCAGAAATATAGCTTGAAATTATAATCAAGGAGTATATCCAATAAACAATGAAACACAAATAATTATATGAGTAGTCAAATGAAAAGACATTTTGAAAACAGAAACCAAGTCATTATTTTGATTCTCCCTTCTTGCTCCCATCTTCCTCCCATCTGAGAGCACTTCATGGAAGGGGAAAAGCTGAGCTTGATCCGTATTTTCAGGCTTACTGATTTTCAGAGTTTTGGTGATTTGTCAAACATTTGAAAAAACACAAACTTGTGAGCGCTGAAGATCTGGGGATCCTGGTGAAGCAGGCTTACACCTGCTTCCCAAACTGCCTTCCAGAGATAGAGATAAAGGGTGACAAGAACAAGAGAAGGATAAATGAGAAGTTAAAGTGAGAAAGGAAGGCCAGGCAAGCGTGGATTGAAGGAAGAAACATGCCTAAGCCAAATACATGAGGGATGAGTCTTACAAATTAAAATTATATTATTTTAAAATATTTTTTAAAACCCATCTACTGGGCTTTGTGTCCTGCTTGGAAAAATATTTCTCACTCCAAGATTCTAAGTTCATATATGCTTTCTTTTAGAAATTTATGATTTCATTTTTTTGATACTCACAACTTGGATCCACTTACAATTAATTCATCTAGGTGAAATGAATGACAGATAAGGTCACCACATTTTAATATCATTATTATATAATTTATAATCTTTTTTTTAATTTGAGGTCTTACTCTGTCATCCAGGCTGGAGTGCAGTGGCATGATCATGGCCAACAACAGCTTCAAACTCCTGGCCTCAAGTAATCTTTTTACCTCAGCCTCCCGAGTAGCTGGGACTACAGGTGTGTGCTACCACGCCTGGCTAATTTTTTGACTTTTTGTAGAGACGAGATCTTGCTATGTTGCCTAGGCTGGTCTTGAACTCCTAGGCTCAAGCAATCCTCCCTCTTTGGTCTCCCAAAGTGCTGAGATTAAAGACACAAGCCACTGCGCCCGACCTATATAATCTTTATATAATCCTTTTTTTCCACTTGTTTGAAAGTCTCCCTTTTTCATAAATTAAGTTCCCATACAGACTGTATCTATTTCTGGACTTTCTATCCTGTTCCATTGAAAAATTTGTCTATTCTCTAGTAATCATTTTAATTATTATTGTTTCATCATATGTTTTAATATAATGGTAGGTCTAGTCCCTTTCATTCATTCTTCTTCTTCTTCTTCTTTTAATCAGAGTCTCACTCTGTTGCCCAGGCTGGAGTGCAGTGGCACACTCATGGCTACCACAGCCTCGACCTGCTGGGCTCAGGCGATCCTTCTACCTCAGCCTTCCAAGGAGCTGGAACAACAAGTGTGTGCCATCATGCCTGGCTAATTTTTTTAACTTATTGTAGAGATAATATCTTGCCAAGTTGTCCAGGCTGGTCTCAATCCCATGGGCTCAGGCACTCCTCTTGCCTCCACCTCCCAAAATGCTGGTATTACAGACATGAGACACCATGCACGGCCCATTCTTCTTTCTAAATAATTTTCCTGGCTGGGCTTGGTGGCTCAGCCTGTAATCCCAGCACGTGTAGTTCTGGCTGCCTGGAAGGCTGAGGCAGAAGGGTCACTGGAGCCCAGCAGGTCGATGCTGGGGTGACTGTGAGTGTGTCACTGCACTCCAGTATGGGCAACAGAGTGAGAGTCCAACTCAAAAAAAAAAAAAATGATAAGAATTTTCCTGATTATTCCCACACACTTATTTTTTTAATGAAGTTTGGTATTATTTTGAGACCTTGTTGAGCTCGTAAATTAATTTGAGGGCAATGACATGTTCGCAATATTTTGTTTTTCTGTTAAATATGTCATCCTTTTTGAGTACAATGTTCTTTTTCCTTGTTCTCAGTCAAGATTATGAAGTTTTCCTTGCTACTGAAGAGTTTTAGGCTTGTTAAAATATGTGGCTGGGTCGGTGTGGTGGTTCAGCCTGTAATCCCAGCACTTTGGGAGGCCGAAGTGAGAGGATTGCCTGAGCATGGGAGTTTGAGACCAGTCTGGGCAACTTAGTGAGACCTCTTCTCTACAATAAATCACAAAAACTATCTGGGCATGGTGGCGTGCACCTGTAGTTCCAGCTACTTGGAAGACTGAGGTGGAAGGATCGCCTAAGCCCAGCAGGTTGAGGCTGTGGTGGCCAGCCTGGGCAACAAGAGTGAGACTCTAATTTAAAAAAATAAATACATACATACATACATATGAGACTGGTGACTGAAAGAAAAAAAAAATGATAGATTGCCTGAGCCCACGGGTTTGAGACCTGCCTGGATAACTTGATGAGACCTTATCTCTACAATAAATCAAAATTTTGCCGGGCATGGTAGCGCGTGCCTGTAGTTTCAGCTACTTGGAAGGCTGAGACGGAAGGATCCAGTCTGGGTGACAGAGTGCAACTCCAACTCAAAAACAAAAACAAAAACAAAAACAAAACAGAAAAAAAAATGTGACAGAAACCTGTCCTGGGGCCCTTACCTGTGCCAGTACCCTGCTGCAGGCCAGGATGAGGGTTACATAGGTCAACATGATATGGAGCCTCACCAGGAGCTAAGGTCAAGGGAGGTTCCATGCACACACACCAGTGATTATAAGGCATGCCAGTGAAGTGTTATGGAAGAGACATGTGTGGGACAAATGTGTGGGCCAGGGATTCTGCCAGATCACAGGCGGCCACTACAGAGAGGAAATGACACACGTTTAGAATGAGCAGCTTACAGGTGGGGAAGAGGGCTAGAAGAGAATACTAGTCAAAAGAGGTTCTCAAAGCAAAATCCAGAAGACAGGACCAACGGTTATTGTGTTCTTGGCGTGTTCCAGGACTTTCTGGAGCATTCGCCTCCACTCCAGGATTTCAGCCTCCCTGATGAGAGTTGATACTGTTCAGGTGCATTTCTCCACCAACCCTCTGCTCAGTACTGAAGTGCATGGTCTGCTTTTTCCCCCAAGGCCAAATGCCCCCATCTCCTAGATTAGAAAGTCACATTGTTCATTTTTTTTTTTTTTTTGAGTTGGAGTCTCACTTGGTCGCCCAGACTGGAGTGCAGTGGCCGCTCCCGGCCACCGCAGCCTTGACCTGCTGGGCTCCGGCGATCCTTCTGCCTCAGCCTTCCGAGTAGGCAGAATTACAGGCGCGCGCTACCATACCCGGCTAATTTTTTGATTTTATTGTAGAGATGAGGTCTCACCTGCCCAGGCGGGTCTCGAACCCGCGGGCTCAGGCAATCCACTCACCTCAGCCTCCCAAAGGTGCGGGATTACAGGCTGAGCCACCGAGCCCAGCACATTGTTCATTACATTGAGAAAAAAGCAGCTTCCTCTATGAAAACAAATAGAACCCCTAAAGGAAATACAGATTAAATACTTTAGCACTCCATAGAGCAGAGATTGGCGTTAAGCATCTAAAGAAATGAAATGCATCTGACTATAGTATCACAGAAGATGACTGAAATGCCTTTGTGCAGAATGTCCATGGATTGGTGACCTACAAATCCAGCCTCCAGGTCCCAGCACCAGCAGTAGTTCATGAACCGCACAAAACAAGCCCGTAGGAAGTCCCCCAGCAGGATGGTGATGTATGTTACCAGCATGTCAGACACCGTCAGCCTCATGAATTCCTGCGAGGAGGAACACAGGAAAAGGGGATGGTCAGGGACCTTCCCCACTTCTCCCAACCTTCCTGCAGACTCGCAAACTTTTCCCTATCTGCCTGACTTCATCTGTGACCCCCTGATTCTTCGCGGCAGAATGGTGGTGAAGAGAAAGGATCCTAGGCCCTGGAAAATGCTTAATTTAGGTCCCAGTTCACAAATTACTAATTGCATGGCTTTGGAATAACCTCTGAACCTCTTGAAGTTGATAATGTGATCAGACTTGCAGGGTTATTGGGAAGCACTGAAAATTGCCCACAATGTTAGCTGTGCCCACTATATTGTAGTCATTATTTAAAAATTACTGGGACCTGAAGGTTCACCCCTTCCTTCCCCTACCTGCTCTGAAGTGCCAGTTGCCCCCACTAAGACTAAATGCGATGCCAGGTGTGGTGACTCAAGCCTGTAATCCCAGCAGTTTGGGAGGCAGAGGCGAGAGGAATGTCTGAGCTCAGGGGTTCGAGACCAGCCAGAATAATATGGCAAGACCTCATCTTTACAACTAAAAAAAAAAAAAAAAGACTAAATGTGACCATCAGCCACTGGAGACAACAGCTGGCTTTCTTCACCTCTTACTGGTCAGATTTTTTTTTTGTATATAGATAAAATTGGGCTGGTTTTGTACAGAAGCAAATAGCAGAAGGACCACAAGCAAAATAAGAATGCTTTCTCTGCTTTGGTAAAGTTTATCTAATTTACCAATCTTTTTTAAAAATTGAAAATATCTACCAGATACCCTCACACCCTTTAAGATACCAAAAAGATTTGAAGTTCACAGGTGGGCACAGGTTCTGCTTTATTCATTTTGTACCCGCTAAGATGATTAAGAAATGTTTGCTAAATAAACAGCTGATGGGTTTAGGGTTATTCCTCAAATGGAAACATCAAGCAAGAATAACAAAGAACTGAGATTAGGGATCACCTTTTCAGAGAGTATAACTACTCACAATGCCCACGGCTGTCTCCCAGCAAGAACCCCGGGGCACATCTGCAGGATGCAGGGGTGGCCGGGGGACACTCTCGTTCCAGCCTGAGGAGTTGTAATAGTTAAACAGAGTCCAGTGAGTGATGTTCTTTATTTTCTCTTCATTAGAAAGCTAGAACAGAAAATGAAAATATGAGGTTGGAAGGAGCCAGACAGGAATAGTCCAACTGTTTCCACAGGAACAATGAAAGCTAGCATATGCTACAACCCTACCATCTAGCCTTTCCCATGAAGCTATCTTCTCTTCTAAGTTAGCATCCATCTATCCATCTATCTGTTCATCCATCTGTCTGTCCGTCCATCTCTCTGTCCGTCCACCTCTCTGTCCATCCATCTGCCCATCCATATTTTCATCCATCTATCCAGCCAGTCAACCAGCCAGACATTCATTCTTCTTTTGAGAATAATTTATTTGGGGTCTGTTTGTGTGTATAAGGCATATAAGGCAGTGGTGATATAGGAATGACCAAGAGAGATGGGCTTCCCTCAGAAAGATCATAGTCTGGTAAATGACAAAGATGAACACATCAGAACAGAGTTATATGAGTTGTGATAAATTCTCTCTGGGGCAGAGGAACATCCACATCAGATAATGGAGGCCACAAAAGACTTCCTAGAGGCAGTGACATCTGGGTCAAAATCTTGGGAAAGATAAGTCAAGTCAAACATGGGGAGAAAGGAGAGAGATGGGCAAAAGAGAATTTTGCCTGTGGAGGAAATGTAAGGCTCAGAAGGGTAGAAAAGTCTCCTGGGTAGAAGGGAAGTCAGAGGTGCGGGTAGTAGGGAGGTAAGGGTCAGATCCAGTCACTTGTGAGGCTAGGACAGCTTTCTGTCAGCCTCAGAAAAAAGTTCCTGCTGCTCAGTAATGAGGAGAGTGGGAGGAGTGAGGAAGAGAGGTGTTATCATCGGGCCATCCCTCCCCCACCCACAGTCTAATTAGTCTAATTTTTCCACTTCTTCCTCTCCATGCCATTGCTCAACCATCCTGCAGTTCTCTGTTGACACCAGCTGCTCCCTCTGCTTTTTCCAATGTCTGCTAAGATTCTCCAAGGTGAGATCTGGAGCCCCTCCTACGCACTGCCACACTATCCTAGGCTTGCTCCCATTGAAGGACATCCTGTCTCACGCTGTAATGACTAAGTCGGTCTCCCAGTCCGGATTGTGAACATGCTTGGAACAGGACTGGGTCATGCTCTCTGCAGTACTCCACAGCCTGACATACTGTGTGTTCCACAACTGGTGGACATTGATAAATGGTTGCCAACAATGACATATCACCCTAGTGGACAATCACTTGACTGTTAATCATTCATGGCAGCTGTGAAACAACATGGAAAAGGCTACAGATAAAATATTAAGGGTACCGTGGCCGGGCTCGGTGGCTCAGCCTATAATCCCAGCACTTTGGGAGGCCAAGGTGAGTGGATTGCCTCAGCCACAGGTTTGAGGCTAGCCTGGGAAACCTCATCGTCACAATAAAAAAAAAAGAAAGAAAATAGCTGGGCATGGTAGCACGTGCCTGTAGTTCCAGGTACTTGGAAGGCTGAGGCAGAAGGATCACCGGAGCCCAGCAGGTCGACACTGGGATGGCAGTGAGAGTGCCACTACACTCCAGCCTGGGCAACAGAGTAAGACTCCAACTCAAAAAAGAAAAAAAAAAATTAAATACAACAGATGACATGTATATGAAAAAAGACAACCTAAGTAAAGGACTGCAGCAAAGCATTAACAATGGTTGTTATAGACTCGGGGGATTATTTTTTCATTTTACTTTTCTGAACTTCCCACATGTATTTAATTAATGTGAATTATGTGTTATTATATGAAGTTATTATATTTAAAAAGGAAATATCATAGACACTAGGTATAGTGGAGAAGAGAGCTGTGGCTCTTACCTTGAGGTGGACGTCATCCATCAGGGCCAAGAGAAATGTGTAGAGGTTCCCCAGGAAGAGTGCAAAGATGCGTCCCAGCTGCCACTTCAGTCCAATGCGTGGGTGGTAATTCTCCAGGGCAGCAATGGTTTCAAACAGAGGGGGACAAAACATCCCAAGCAGGGACATCACAATCTCTACCTGAGCAAACAGGAAAGCCTGGGTTACTTTTGTTATCAATATTACTTGCTTGGTTACCATCCTCGCACCTCCATAATCATCTATCGCCACATCCCTGGTGCCCTCTCCTCTGCCACTGAGGATGTCCTGGGGTCTGTATAACTTGCTGTATGATCCTGGCTAAGGCATCAATATGCCTGAGCAGTCAGCATGTCCCCTCACATTATAACTGCTGTGTGACTGATTACTATAATAATTGCTGCTATTAGTATTGATAAAAATAGCAAACTTTCTTTGTGGAGCAAATGAATTAAGTTAACACATGAGGCAGTGCTTTGCGTTCTATAAAAGTTATGAACTAGGCGGGAGTCACCATGGTAGCTCATCTCAAGAGCATCAAAGACAGGAAGCTCAAATCACAGAAGAGAACTGACAGTAGAGGTTAGGAGTGTGGTTAAGAGTGTGGCATTTGGAATCACCTCTCTGGGTTTAAGCCCCAGCTCAATTACTTGCTGTCTTTGTAACTTAGGAAAAGTTAGAAAACCTCTCTAGCTCCTTGTTTCTTCATGTGTAAAATGGTGATGACAGTCCTTGTTGTGAGAGTCAGAAAAGATAATGTATGTAAATCTACTATTCCAGAACCTGGTAGGTATCAGGCACTTGATTTTGGCTCCAATTTTGGGAGAATCTTGATTTGCATAACTGAATCTGACCACCATAGAACAGTTCTCTGCAACTAAAACTGATCACCCAGCCGGGCTCGGTGGCTCAACCTGTAATCCCAGCACTTTGGGAGGCTGAGGCGAGTGGATTGCCTGAGCCCGCGGGTTCGAGACACGCCTGGGCAACTTGGCGAGACCTCATCTCTACAATAAAATCAAAAATTAGCTGGGCATCGTAGCGCACGCCTGTAGTTCCAGCTACTTGGAAAGCTGAGGCAGAAGGATCACCGGAGCCCAGCAGGTCGAGGCTGCAGTGGCCGGGAGTGGCTACTGTACTCCAGTCTGGGTGACAGAGTGAGACTCCAACTCAAAAACAACAACAACAACAAAAAAACTGATCACCCAATGGGTGGTCCTGGCTCTCTCACTCTCTCACATTGACCCTTGGCTTGGTTTCTCATCTCCATACCTGCTCATGCAGTTCTTCTCACCTGGAGAGCCATCACTGTCCCACATTCACCACTGCCCTTTTTTATATGCTTGTCTAATGCTCAGCTTAATACCTGTCTTTGCACAAAATTCCACTGCCTCTCCAACTCTGAGGGATATTTCTATCTGTACCTAATACATCTTATTTGATTACATTATTCCTGCCTGATGTTGCTCATGATCGTGTTTATTCTTGCAAAGCCTGTATCCTAAGGAAACTGCAATTCTCCTTAGGGGCAGAATCTATCTTGGGCATCTTTTGTATCCTTTTCACAGACTAGTGACCCAGTGAAGGCTTCATGGAAGGAATTTTTCCCCCCTCTGACTCTATTCCCCAGTTCTTTCATCCTACAGAGGAGCCCCCAGCATCTTTGTCTTTCCTGTATCCTAAACTCATTTGGTCCAGGTCAGGAGGTACATTGGGACTTCCAATCAACTGTTGAGAACATCTAAGGTAACATCCGGCTTCACTTATCCAGAGTGGGTTAAAGATAAGCTTAGGTCATCAGGAATGAGGCACCAGAGAGAGACTCAGAGCCAGACAGATACTAGGTCCTAATTCTGTCTCTATTGCTAACAAGCTGTCTTAAACTTTCTGGGCCTCAGCTATTTTATGCAAAAACTGGAATAATGATGTCTACTTCACTAATAGACTATGAGCCATAAATAAAAAAATACATAGAGAGTTCCAGGGCCATTGTGGTTATTCAGTTAATAGTTTTCTCCTTTGTCTTTCTGACAGTTTTCATTTTTTGAGCACCGACTATGTGTGAATCACTGTGCCAAAACCTGAAGAGGCAACAAAGAATAAAAAAAACACATATACTCTGTCCACAAAAAGCTTGAGGTAGACATAAATAATTACATATCTAGTTAATCATTACAAAGGCAAAAAGAGTTACGAAGGATAAGTACATAAAATGTGTAATAGAAATAAGGATGTAACATTCAATCTCAGATCTGAAATTATTCAAGAGATGGGAGTGTGTGAGAGAAGGCATTTCACCAGAACAAACAGAGGCCAGTGCAGTGGCAGCTAAGAGAAAAGGGGAAAGAAAGACTGGTGTGTGGGTGGGGAGGTAAGTCAGGGAAAGTCATTTGGACTGGAAAGCCATTTAGACCTTTATCTTAAGAGAAAAAGATGGTTTTCATGGTGACCGTATTTTCTTTCTTTTTTTTTTCTTTTAAGTTGGAGTCTCACTGTCACCCAGGCTGGAGTGCAGTGGCACACTCACGGCCACTCCAGCATTGACCTGCTGGGCTCAGGCAATCCTTCTGCCTCAGCCTTCCAAGTAGCCGGAACTACGGGCATGCACAACCATGTTAATTTTTTATTTATTGTAGAGACGAGGTCTCACCAAGTTGCCTGGGCTGATTTTGAACCTGCAGGCTCAGGCAATCCACTCGCCTCAGCCTCCCAAAATGCTGGGATTACAGGCTGAGCCACTGAGCCCAGCCAGTGAATGTATTTTCATATTAAAAATAATAACTTGGAGTTCTGGGAAGATCATGATAACCACAACATAATTTTTTAATCTCCTTGAATTATCATGTAAAATTAGACTATGTAATTAAATAACAAATCTAAAACCCCTAGATAATAAGACTAGGCGACACGGTGTCCCCTCAAATCTTAAAATACAGGTGGATGGGAACAAACTCCTAACAGCCACAAGATCCGATGGAATTAGTGTCTGTATGAGAGAAAACACACAGAAACAATGGGGTATCCAAAGAACCTGAGAACAGGAGGATATTAAAATAGGCAATAGGTACTCAGTGAAAAGCATAGTCGTGACAATACGGCATCAAGCAAGTCTACTGGTGCCATTTTCCAATGGCATTTGCTTACTTCATGTCTCTGCCACATTTTGGTTATTATCACAGTATTCCAAACATTTTCATAATTATATCTGTTGTGGTGATCTGTAATCAATGATCTTTAATGTTATTATTGTAATTTTTTAGGGGCAAAATGAATCACACCCATATAAGATGGTAAACAAAAAAATGTTGAGTGCATTCTGACTGCAAAAAGAAAAGGAAAGAAAAGCATAGTCGATCAATCTGAGAACAGCAGGAACTTTGGTCAGTCTAATAATGGGTGAGTGCAATATAGTTCTTGGTAACTTTGCAGATGGGCTGAAGCAGCCTGGGCCTCTTGAACTCTTGAAATTGACCTGTCAAGCTCCCTAAGAGGATAGAACCTAACCTTAAGAAGAATCTTCTGGGAATGGAATTGAAATTGAGAAGGCAGGGGAAAATAGAGAAAGAAAAAGGAAGGGCTAGATAAAAAAGTGGAGAAGGGATTAGAGCCAGGAACTCTTGGGAAGCAAGCCACCCTATACTTTTTTTTTTTTTTGAGTTGGAGTCTCACTCTGTCACCCAGACTGGAGTGCAGTGGCATGTTCCCGGCCACTGCAGCCTCGTCCTCCTGGGCTCCGGCGATCCTTCCACCTCAGTCTTCCAAGTAGCTGGAACTACAGGCATGGACTACCATGCCTGGCTAATTTTTTATTTTATTGTAGAGATGAGGTCTCGCCAAGTTGCCCAGGTGGGTCTAGAACCAGCAGACTCAGGCAATCCACTCACCTCAGCCTCCCAAAGCGCTGGGATTATAGGCTAAGCCACTGAGCCTGGCTCCCCCTATATTTTTAAGGCTTCACAAAAACAATGGAAGAGGAAGGTTTGTTAAGTTAGAAAAGTTATCCTGAGCCATGCCTCATTAAAGCTTCAAGAAAACTAACTAAATAAAAATGAACAGTGTAAAAAAATTTTCTAGGTCAAACCTCATACAGTGTTATTACAAGAAAAAGAACAAAGAGTGGGTAACCTCCTCTCAAACAGTGAAAACATTCCAAGACGTTATTTATTTATTTATTTATGTATTTACTTATTTGAGTTGGAGTCTCACTCTGTTGCCCAGACTGGAGTGCAGTGGCCGCTCCCAGCCACCGCAGCCTCGACCTGCTGGACTCCGGTGATCCTTCCGCCTCAGCCTTCCAAGTAGCTGGAACTACAGGTGCGCACTACCATGCCCGGCTAGTTTTTGATTTATTGTAGAGATGAGGTCTCGCCAAGTTGCCCGGGCGGGTCTCGAACTCGTGGGCTCAGGCAATCCTCTCGCCTTGGCCTCCCAAAGTGTTGGGATTACAGGCTGAGCCACCGAGCCCGGCCCAAGAAGTTATTTATACAGAACTGTTCAAAGTTGTAATCTAGTATTTAGAAACTAGCAAATAGGTGTTTAAGAAAAGATACAGGTTACAAAACAGCAATGTAAATAAAAATTAGAAAAACCCAGAGAGAAGGTGACAGAATTCTGTAAAAAACTGGAAGCTAAAGGAAAAACCATATTAAAATTGGAGAATAATTAAAATAATCACAATAAAAAAAACACAATGATAATGGCAAGAAAAAAATGAAAAGGAGGAAAAATTTAAAAATAAAAACCAGCTGGGCACAGCGACTCACACCCGTAATCCCAGCATTTTGGGAGGCAGAGGTGAGAGAATTACCTGAGTCCACAGGTTCAAGAGAAGCCTGGGGAATATGGTGAGACCTCGTCTGTACAGTAAATTAAAAAATTAGATGGGTATGGTGGTGCATGCCTGTAGTTCCAGCTACTTGGAAGTCTGAAGTGGAAGAATCACCTGAGCCCAGCAGGTCGAAGCTGCAGTGGCTGTGAGCATGCTACTGCATTCTCATGCCGCTGTATTCTAGCCTGGGTGACAGAATGAGACTACAACTCAACAACAACAACAAAAACTATATGAAGAAAGAAGTTAAAAGAAAATGAGTTATGTTAAAGATAGATGAAGATTCAACATCAGGAAAACCCAAACAAGGGAACAGAACACATTTTAAACACTA